AAGTGGTAGAGGTTTAACAAGAATCTATCTAACCTACATACCAGCTGAACATCATGATAGGCTTAGGATAATACTTAAGGCGGAAAAGAGACGACAAATTGGTGAAAGTTACAAAAGAATACGAGGAGGGACTGTCTACTAAAATATTAGTACGTGATGCTGAAAGCTTGTTACAAGTAATACTAGGCGGAATGCAATAGGAACTGACCTAAGTTAAAGACGCAATTGTAGGAACGATTGGTGCAAAACTGCAAAAACACATAGAAGAACAGACAGAAAATAGGTGGTTGGAACAGATAATGTATGGTCAGTTCGGCAGGCAATGTACCGAAGAAGGTATGGATAGGAATGGTACATATACGAGTAGGTGGTTGAGGAATGGATATCATCCTTCAAAAGCACTCTCGGAAGCAGATTATGAGTTTTGACTGCAACACATACACCGTGAATGTCACCAACTGTCCTACATTAATTTATATTTCTTAAACCCAACTGCATATTTCAAATCTAAAGAGGCTGGGTAATGTTATGATCCCGTATCTCTTGAATAATTCTTTTTTCACCAGCGTGCGGACGGTACTCACTTTCAACACGCATCTGCGTTCAGAAAGTAGTACTTCTCAGCACGTATAACCTTTCCGCAGAAGTGCTGCTTTCTGTACGCAGATGCGCGTTGAAAGTGGATACTTTCCGCACGCTGATAGGAAAAGTCGTATACCTAACACTTGTGGAAGGTGTATTTTCCGCCCTGGACGGCTCGCCCAAAAAAAGTATCACCTTCCGCACTTGTTAGGTAATGAACTATTACACTATTATCAGTATTTTCTCTTGTGCTGAAGTACTCCTGCCCCATAAGCAGATACTATACCATAGTTTGCTGTCCATATGGCCATGGTAAAACAGCAATAACTGATCAAATGTCAAGACCGATCTCAAATTATTTGTTAAGAATGCAGTAAATCGACTTAGAAATCAAATGACTGTAGTGATTACAGTTACATTTTACATTATTACATTAATAATATGAGATGGTTGAACGTTAATAAGTTATTCAAACATTCATTACTACGTACTGTAGTAGTAAGATGAAATTGACTGGAAAATCTTTTTACTACAAAAAGCTCATAAGCTGGTAAGATATTTATATAATTCACCCTACCAGCATCATACGGTGTCCATATTTGTTAACCATGTCTGAACATGAAACAGCATTACTAAATAGGTCTTTTACATTTAATGCAGCATCCTTGTATAAATCTTTTCCAAACCAAATTAAATACATGTCACTAACAAAATTTCAATGTAATGTTTTTAAAATATCACCTTCTGCACATATAGTAGCATAATTATTTCTGTTTTCTCAATGCTTTTATTGTTTTTGTATATATTGACTTTTTACTAATCTAAATTCGTACTATCACTAAATTTTGCCCTTTTATAACTTATTGTTATCAATAAAGACGTTTATTATTATTATTACTATTATTATTATTTTATTTGTATTATTATTATATTATTATTATTATTTTAATTTCACAGGTATTCTGTTATTCTTGACTGACAGGAAAATTAATCCCGAGGTCAGCCATAGGCAAAGTTAGTTGAAAAACTTCCTGACTATACTACAGGTACCGAAGATTGCTGCCTTCTGGCATTCTCTTAAATAGTTAAGGTCAAGCTTCAAGGCTTTGAGGTTTGTGTGGAAGTTTTTGTGGACGAGGCCGTTGGCAGAAACAATAAATGGCAGTATAAATGTTTGCTTTAATTTGTATAGTTGTTGGACCTCGTGTAAAAGCTGTTCATACTTAGTCGTTTTTCTGGTGTAAGTAGAAAAAATTGTAATAAAAATCAGTCAGTGGACTCAAAAAGGTTTTTCTGTTAGATTGCCTCATTTTATTTATTTATTTATTTAGCAACATCCAACAGCCATAGCCAATTACAGGATGGATAAACATGAAAATATAAACAAATGCATGTTGTGGATGTATGTAGAGAAAGCTAGCCTCATATTTAAGTACCCTAAGAACATAGAAGCATTTGTACCGGCAAGATCTAGATGTTTGTTGCTCGACAGGATTACAATGAAAAGTATTAGTAGTGAGTTTGCCTAGCTGAAATTGAATCAAAACAATTAGACTATACCCTTCTCACGCAACTATAAATTCTCTCAATTAGATTATAGTCAGTTATTTTCTAAATATGTGCATATGATACTGAATGAACTTAGCTCCTCCTTAAAAAAAGATTAACTACGCACATGTCTAACAAAAAAAAATGTTCCACGTTCATTTGAAAGGCTCGAAATCGAATCCTGACTAGATATTTTCACTGAGCTGCGATATACAGGGTGTTCCTTAATGATATGCGAATATTTAAAGGTGTAAATCTACATGAAAAATGAATGTTAGTCTGCTTTATAAACTATGGTTCAAAAATGTTTCCTTACAAAAACTCGGGGTGTTGAAGTTTAAGGAAAAAATGGAGATTAATTAATATTTTCAGAACCACTTCAGATATTTCACTGATATTTAGTACGTAGTGAAAGTTTTTTTTATACTCCAACTACCACGAAGGCCTAAGGCCTAAACACCTCATTGGGTACCGTGGGGCTATAGGGGGCTACAGGGGAAAGGGGGAACGCCACACGGACTCTGGCGAGGGAACACATGCAACATGCACATATTCTGGCTCCGCGTACGAGATCCGCCGGGTGGTACCTCCACGTTCGACAGTCAGAGACCGTCTACCACCTACGGACAATCACAACATCCATAGTCAAGAGAAAAATTTCTCCGAAGAGTCTACTACTGCGGCCACCGCTGCTGCAAAAATAATGTTTAGCTTCAACAGTGGCATGTGTACGGGTATTGACTTTGATATTTGTTAATAAAACATGGTACGCCAATTGTTTTTTGCAAAAAAAATAATTTTTGTATTCCCCGTTCAATTTAAAACAAATGATCTGTCTTGAATTGTTTTCCTTCGATCCGCCATTTTTGAGTAAAAAAATAAGTACCGTTCTATTGTCTAACTTGCAAAATTATTATTAATTTAATTGGAAAAATTAAACACATTAGGGGTAATGAACAACAACAACTGACAACATAAACATAACATTAGAAACAACGAAATGATTACAAAAATTGTTTAAAATGGCCCCCTTCACTTAGTATGCATGCTTCCGCCATCCTTCTCATGGAATTGCCCACTCGTTGAAATATCCCTGGAGTGTTTTTTATTCTATCACAAGCTGGAACTATTCTTTCTCTTAATTCCTCTACAGTGTTAATGGGACTTGTGTATACTAGTGCCTTAAGATAGCGCCACAAAAGAAATCTAAACTGTTGAGGTCTGGGGACCTTGGTGGCCATTCTTGGGGCCCACCGCGGCCTATCCAACGATTTGGATAAACAGTTTGTAAATAATTACGAACCGCTACACTGAAATACGCTGGTGCACCATCATGAATGTACTACATATTGTTTCTTATTACTAACGAAACATTATCAAGCAGCAAGATGAATGGACCAATAAAGTGGTTGCCAATAATTCCTGCACATACGTTAACCGAAAATTGGTGTTGGAAATGGGTTTCGGTTACGGCATAGGGATTTTCTTCTGCCCACAAATGATTATTGTAGAAATTCTGAATGGCATTTCGAGAAAAATTAGCTTCGTCCGTGAACAGAATCATTGATTCAAATTGCTGATTTTGTGTAGGCCACACGCCTGGGAAAATCAATGAGAAGTAACGTCTGTACTCTTAAAATATGTTAATGATAGAACAAAAAATACACTAAAATTATCCAAACAATTCGATGGCAAATATTTAAGTGTCTAGCGATCTTGCTCGTACTCATTTCAGGATGTTCTTCGACATCGTGCAGTACTGGTTCCTCAATTTCAGGTGCTCTCACTCTTAGAGGTCTACCTTCAGATGTCCCTTTTCGAACAGAACCAGTTTCAACAAGACGACGATGAATATAAGAAAAGGTTCGACTATCTGGCAAAGCACGATCGGTATACCTATGATGATAAATCTGTCTGGTTTGCTCTCCATTACCGTCGGCAAGGCCATATACGTAATGCATTTCCGCTATTTATGCATTTGAATAATTCACCACTATTAACGAGATTGTAAAAACTAAATAACGAAAAAGATGTTACAGCGAACAGACTTGAATAATAGAGACTTGTTAGATGTCAAAAGCCAGTGACATGTTCCAGAGCAACTAGATATTTATTGTTAAATTGCATTCTTCAATTATTACATTACTTTTCTCGGACAATAGAATGGCTTTTATTTTTTTACTCAAAAATGGCGCATCGAAGAAAAACAATTCAGAAGAGATCATTTGTTTTAAATTGAACGGGGAATTCAAAAATAATTTTTATTTGACAAAAAACCATTGGGGTACTATTAAGGCAATACCCGTACGCATGCCACTGTTAAAGCTAAAAATTATTTTAGCATTGAAAAATATGCAACTTTATTAACTTTCACTACATACTAATATCAATGAAATATCTAAAGCATTTCTGAAAATATTAATTACTTTCAAAACTTTAACACCCCGAGTTTCTGTACGGAAACATTTTTGGACCATTGTTTATAAAGCAAACTAACATTAATTTTTCATGTAGTTTCACACCCTTGAATATTCCCATATCATTAAGGAACACCCTGTATAACAAATGTTTCATGCTGATGGAATTCCAAGAATGTATAGCTTGAATTCTTATCAATGGTCAGGAATCGAAAACTACGATATACCGCAAAACACCTCAAACTATAAAAGGAAAACCTACCACATTTCTGTCTCAATAGAAAATGTAATATCTAACAGGTAGCATTGCTAGGATAAGAGTCTTCTTATTATGACACAAAAAAGGAAAATCAATGCCTCATATATTCCTAACACTGCCGCTGCAATTTGCGGAGGTATGCGCGTACTTTTGCAATCAAGGCTAGTCGATTTACTGCTCTCATCAGGCGATCGTACCGGAAGGAAACTAAAGACGTAGGTTCATCCGTATTCAGCCAATCGGTGTGATTTGAACTTACCAGCGTCTTAATTTAACATCATATCACATACATTTTTATTGCAGTTTCTTCTTTACCATCAATCTACATGTATGGACGCAACATTAACAACACCTGCAACTCATGACTTTCTACTGAAAATTTTTTTTAAAAAATGAGTAGTTCTCTCTGAAACTTTAAGCAACGGTAAAGTGATTTTACTTTTATTAATTTGTGCTCGTAACTCTTCAGCAGCTCGTCATACTTTCAAGACCTATTTAGCTTAGTCGACTATGATATAATAGCAATCTAAATTTTATGAAAATCCGAGGAGTACTTTCAGATTATAAAAGCGCCAATGATCAGCAGACAGCTGATCGACAGATAGACAGAAATGAGTGACGTAGTTTTTCGTGCGTCACGGTCAAAAAACGTAATGTCCCATTTTTGAAACTTTTCGCAATTGTAACACTTCCCCGCCAATTGGCGTGGGAACTAATAAAGTTCTCATTAAACACTCGAAACGTGAAAACATACAGAAATAGAAAAAAAATTCTTAATATGGTTAACAACTTTACGTTCGTTCATTTAAATTCTAGGAAATGGAGGTGCATGTATGAGCCCGTTCCATAGTTCTTCCTGGAACAGCACATAGTTCCAATTTTACCGACGAAAGTACATAGCAATACAAACTGGCGTACATACCATGAATAAATGACGAAGAACCGCTATGAATGTTTATTTGCAGTGGAAAAGGAATGTAAAAGTAGAAAAACTGAATCAGAAAATAGTAGGCGCTTGCACTCAGGTGGACAGTGCTGCACTTAGGTGAACGTCGTTAAATAAAAAATAAATGGATCGTTGAGTTATTTACGTTGCCTTTAGAACTCAAAAGCTAAATAACATATCGCTTATCATTTATTATTAATACGCAGCATTCATAATCCATGCATTAAGGTCCACATTTATCGTCTACCCTTGAGGGCTGAGTGCCTATTGAGTGATCCTCGAGAGGAGATTTAAGGCCGCGGTTATACTCTGATGTGGCACGTGGTAGGTGGCTGGTGGTAAGCGTCGGGCGACACGGCCTGTATCCGTTTTGTATTGGTTCTGTTGCCTCCGCTCATACTTGATAGTTGTGGCAAGACAAGATGCAGGCATGATTTTTCCACTTTGCGGGGAATTTTTGAGAAGCAAAATTTTCTGAGGTAGCTTTTGGGGGGAAACTAGCTCTGGATTTCTTTGGCATTTTATTTCATTTTAAACTTTGTTAAACTGATCACTGGCAATTTCAATCTTTATAGCTTATGGATACACCCTATTCAAATCACATTTAAGCACCGACAAAACAACCAAGTATAGGCTGTCGATCGCACCAGTATTGATCAGTAGACCGGGTGATACTAACACAATTTATGAGCGCAAATATTGCGTAAATACCATTTCAATAGAATGTTGATTCTATATGACCCTTCTGGCAGCAGTGCACGGCAGTAATCGCTGTTGAGATATTGCGATTCGCTCTCTCTTCTGTCTATAACCCACAGCCGACAACTGACATCGTGAAAAATATACATCGATCGTCACCCCTCAGATGTAGCCCATCGTCTACCACTCGCCAATCGTTGCGTACCACCTCAAAGTATACTTGCGGCTTAATATTTGCATTTAACTGTAACAGTTGTCATCACAGAGTTTCACAATTTTCAAAAGTTTTGAAGTTTTAGTTCTCAGTGTTATCGATTTTTTTTTTAATTTTTAACGTTTTCAGAATATTTCAAAATTTCTAGTCCAAATGGTGAAAATTATGAAAATTTAAAAAAATATGGCAAGCTTTTAAAACTTCGAAAACGCAAAAGATCTCGAAAAATTTGGAGAATTTTGAACATTTTGGACATCATGGAAATTTTGATAATTTTGTATAACTCGAAACCTTGAAAACTTCGATAATTCCCAGAAGATTTTTGAGAATTTCGAAAACCTGTGATGACAACTATTACAGCCTATCGTGCAGTACAAATTTCAAGTTTATACCATTTGAAAGTTGGCCAAGGGGCATTATTGTTTATTTAAAGCCCCTAATCAGCATTCCGCTCTCAGGGATCGGTTATACATCTGAGCCTAAGAAGAAATATTTACCAAGAGGGAGCTTTCTCTATTCACAAGTTAGGGCTCGTATGAAAAGCTTTCCTTAACTTCTTGGTAGCTCTACGGTATTCAGACTTTGCCTTCGCGGCGGCTTGAGTATAAAAAATATTCAATGATATACACGGTAACAGGAAAACATTTTTTGAAATCAGTTGATGCTGTCATACGAGTTTGACGTACTGCGATCCATTCAGGTAAACTTTGGAGATACATGCTTACTCAATTAGGCAATTAGATTTAAACCGTAAATGGTTCCTATAAGATCATCGTTGGGACCACGGCGAAAGTAATGCTTTAAAGCAGTGGTCGCCAACCTTTACATTATGTTGAGCTACTTTGATAATTTTGGGATAAACAGTGAGCTACCTAGTTGTAAGCAATTTAAACTAACTTAAATGAAATTATACACAGTTGTATGCGACATACATGTGTTTTACCAATACAACTTAAATAAACTAATAACTAATACATTTTACATAACTACATTCATCCCTACCAATCGTAGGTGTTATAAAAAATAAACAAAATTTGTCGTCAGCTACAATGGCATGTCACATACGATTTAACATAGGTAACTAAAAATGAAAAAAGCAACGTACTATTTTAAGCAAAAACATGTCCAGATAAAAAATGCATGTTCAATGAGAAACCTGACACTCAGACTCACTGACAATTTGTTTAATGTTTGGAGTATAATTTGATACCGCCATTCGAATATTATTATCTAAATGTTCATCTGTAAGTCGATTACGGTATTTGTTTTTAATAAACTTCATATTTGAAAAAGAAGATTCACACGAATATGTTGAACTGAATAACGCTTTAACTTTCAAGGCAACGCGACATAAAACTAAATATTTATTTTTACTTACTGGCCAGATACTTTATGTATTTGAGACTACCGATTTTAAAGCTAAATCATTTTGAAACGCAATCACTTCAATTTCTGTCGCAGCGATGTCTTCGCTAAAATTCTGCGTATCAAAAGTTGCAAACTATTGGATATCAATTTTCATGGAGGGTGAAACAACAGGTTGCGTCACTACAGCAATTTCGTTGAAATCCTTGACACGATTCTTGAAGTTATCCTTCAGCTAGAAACTCTTTCTACTGTCACATGGTTTTAATGGACTTTGAGATATCTTTTCTGAAAGAACAGGAAAATGCCTGGAATTGCCGTCGATTAAGTTTTGTTTCCAAAACTCAAGCTTCTTGATAAACACTTTTATATCAGAAATCATTTCTGCTAGTTCTTCGTCCCTCCCCTGCAGCTGCAAATTAAGTTCATTTAATTTATCTGTAATATCCACTCTAAGCCAGATTGAATTTTTCAGTTCCGGAATCTCATCACCTTGTCTGTCCCCTACTTAACCATCGGACTTTAGAGTGAAGAAGTAGTTCTCCGTATTGGCAGTCGATTTCATCGGCCAAGGTTTTGAATAATCTTCTCTGTAACGCTTGAGCTCTAATCTTGTTCACAATTTTCACTACCAATTTCATAACGTTGTTTAGTTTTAGAAAATGTCCACATAATGCTTGCTGATGGATAATGCAGCGGTAACAGAGAAATTGCGGAAAACTTTCATCTTTACGACTTAACCCCACGAGACCCTTATCACGACCCACCATAGCTGGGCGCCATCGGTTGTTAAGCCTACCATTTTAGTTACTGGAATTTTCTCAGAAGTATTTTTAAAAGAAGAAAACAGGTCCTGCCCAGTAGTTTGTCCTTTCAGTGGAATAAACTTCAAAGGTTCTTCTTTAATCGTAAAATCACTAAAAACTATCCTGGAGACGAACATGGCCATCTGAAAGGTGTCAACAACATCTGTGGATTCATCCAGCTGCAGTGAAACATAAGCACAGTTATCGAAGTCATTTCTTAACTGTAAACCTATATCATTGCTCATTACTTCTATTCGTCTCGTCACCGTATTAGCAGAAAGTTGCATAGATTTTATAGCAGACACTATCTCGTCTTTATTTCTAATTTTGGCAAATAATGAATCTGCAGCTTCTAAAAACGCCTGTTTTATCATTTCCCCATTTTCATAAGGTTTCTCCTTTTGTGGGACACCCGGTATGATGCTTCAGTTGCAGTCTTACTTTTGTCGATTGCTTTTAAAAACATTGTCTATTGTCCAATTAACTGGTTTTTTAATTGTTTCAATTTTTTTGTTCTGGTTGCAGAACGTAATGGGAATGACTTTTCAACATTCGAATGTACGGAACAGATGTATTACGTAACAAACACACATTTTTACTTTCAACTCCTGTAGAGAAATATTGTTCTTCCCATTCCAAATGGAAATGGTATGTCTTCATCTTCTTACCTCTGCTCATAATGCTTTTAATTGCAGGCAAACTCTAACCCAACCGCTGGACTTTGCGCCGTTCAGTTTTAAACTGAGCGCACTGTCTTCGCGCCTTGCGTATTTATTCCGTTCAAAGTAATCGAGATCGTTCTAGAACAGATCGCTCACAGCAGTGTTGCCGCTTCTTGTGTTTATTATGAGAATTTACAAAATTTACGGAAGCTTCTATGATTTTTACACCTTTTTAAAATATGTTGTGAGCCATCAGAATCGCCTTTACGAGCTACCGGTAGCTCGCGATCGACGGGTTGGCGACCACTGCTTTCAAGAATTAGACTACTTACTACATTTTATACATAGCTTACCATTCTTTATTTTGCAGTTAGCTACCAGTTCGTTGACAAGCTCCTTATTTTTCTGAAACAACAAATATTTTAATTAATTTTTCATCATATATATTCATATATGTTCGAGGAGAGTTGGATATGGTGTCGAAGAAGGTTGACTCTTTCCGTGTCTCATTGTAATATGATTCTATTCATGCACTCTTAAAGACGTGATTAATGGCGAACTCGTCTGTAAGAAAAGTTGAAGTATGTTGCACACGATGGAAGCAAGGTAAGGTACAATTAGCTGATAAGTGGCATCGATCACTTATCCTTAACGCGTTAATAGCTTCAATAGCGGTACCAGTGCTAAAATCATGTTACTTTCTTTTTACGATTTTGATCACATATCAGTAACTTGAATTTCTCTTTATTAATAGTAAAGTGCTTACTCCTGGACCTAACCCTTTTTAATGATTTTCTTTTGGCAAGTTCCATAGTTTATTGACTGTTTAATTTTTCACGTATTATATCTTTCTTTCTCAGCGATTCAGTATCGTGTTGGAATCTTTTGGACTCTAATGTTAAAGTATTGTTAACGACTATCTTCGAAATTTTCATAAAATATCATTGGAATCTTGTAGAATTGGTTCTGCCTACAGTCCGCCCATTGGCAGCCAGCGCGCCACCTTCTTTCAGGGGGTTGCGTGCGCAGATGGTCCAGCGCCATTTTCTTTCTCTCTGCTGTAGTTTTGGTTGTGAGTGGGCGTTTTTTTATTAACTTGGGATTAACTGGGATAATAACGCCCCAAACACCGGTTTATGGAGTACATTTTTATTTTGTACCCTACGTTTAGTTGTGTTGGTTTAGGTACTACTACCCCTCCATTTTCTAATGGGATTTTAACCTCCAGCGTGGAAAGCCATTGTGGAGAACCACCTTTCACGCTCCTCCAGCTTTGTTTTGTAGCTGCCTTGTAGCTGTTTCGCAGCCGATTTTGTTGGAAGCCATCTCTTCCCCTTGATACAGTTCCGAACGGTTG